TTCTAAACCCTCTATTTCCATCCTGGATAGGGATGATAATATAGAAAACTCTGATAACAATCAGAGTACTGATCAGATTTATAAAATGAAATAAGCCAGTAAACCTACTTTGAATAAGTATTATTACCATCGCCCTACTCCCATTGATGTTCTTCATGAAGAACAAGAGTATATTATTAATAATAGTTATAATGGCAAATGTATTTATGAGTGGAGTCTTGATGGCTTTACCGATAAACATATTTATAATATGGCACATCGCATGCTTATGTATAGCACTGTTTGTAAAAACACTAGAACACTGATAAGAATATTGCTAAAATGATTATTGTTGGTTTTACTGGTCAGTTAAAAGGATGGTGGGATAATTATATCCCTCATGATCAAAAAGAGCAGATTTATAGTTCTGTTAAATCTGAGGAAGGTCAGGAAACAACAAATGTTGTTTATCCTCTCATTTTAACTATCATTGAACATTTCACTGGTAGATTTTCTGATAACAGTGAAAATATTCGAACTCTTATCAATAATCTTAGATGTAAAACTCTTACTGAATTTAGATGGTATAAAGATACTTTTTTATCCAGAATTTTTGAGTTAAAAGACTGTAATAACAGTCATTGGAAAGCCAAATTTATTGATGGTCTTCCTCATCTTTTTGCTGAAAAAATCAGAAGAACTCTAAAAAAAGATAATATTTATGTTAATTATGATCATTATACTTATGGTCAATTAATCAGCACTTGTGTTGCTGAAGGTCTTTCTTTATGTAATGATTTAAAATTAAATCATCAAATCAAGAAACAAAATCTTCTTGAAAGAAAGCAGTTAGGAGATTTTTGTGACCAATTTAGTATGGAGGTTCCTTATAAGAAACTCAAAAGAAAATTTCATAAGAACTTAGATAAGGAGAAAGATTTTCGTCCTCATAAAAAATGTTTTAAAAGAAAAAGATATATTAATGAAAAAAATATTGATAAAAAAGATTTCAAAAAATCTAATGATTTTTCTAGAAAAAGAAATTATAAAAATTCAAATGATTTCAAAAAAACACAAGATTATTTGTCAAAATTGTGGAAAAATTGTCATTCTTCAACAAATTGTTGGACGAAAAAGAAAATCAATAGTTTAAATATTGACCAGGATTTAAAAGATTATCTTCTAAACATCTTTTTAAATTCTAAGTCTGAAGATGAAAATCAAAGTGTCACTAATAGTGATCAGAATTTAAATAATTTAAATGATAGTGATTCTATTATTTCCTTTAGCTCTGAAGATTCTTCTTCTTATTGTGATGCTTGTACTATAGGAAATCCTTGTTCAAATTGTTCTAAAGATGTTAGTAATATTAATAACGATTGGGATAAAGATGAGTTTTATAAACTCCTTTCTTAATTCCAAGATTTAAATATAAATGTTTTATCAAATGATAAAGTTTTAAAGATTTTAATGAAAATCAAAGATCCTATCATTTATTCTGAGATTTTAGAAAATCTGGATATGGATACTTTAAAAAATAATCCTACTATCGTTCCTATCAATAATATTGATTATTCTATGAAAGAAGTAAATAGACTTCTTCAAAATAAACATTTTAAAGGAAAAGAAATTTCTATTCAAGACCTTAATAAAGAGGTTGATATTTTAAAAGAAGAAATTAAAATTTTAAAGGCGGATAATCTTCTTCTTCATAGCCATATTTCTATAATCCTTAATAAAAAGAATTCTGAAAATATTGAAAATATCATTAAAAATGARGAGTTAGAAGATGCCTTAAAACCATCATCTTCTAAGAATTCTCAGGATGATGCTATCCTTTCTACTCTTAGCAGGATGATATCCCAAAAATGGTTTACCAAAATAACTCTTCTTATAGGAGGGCATTTTAAAAAAGATTTTACTGCCATGATTGATAGTGGTGCTGACTTAAATGTCATACAAGAGGGTCTTATTCCTAGTCGTTATTTCGAAAAAAACCTCTTGTTCTCTTTCTCATGCTGGAAGAGGTCCTTTAAAAATTAAATATAAGCTTTCAAATGCTAAGATTTGTAATCAAGCTAGTTGTATCTCTACTAGTTTTCTTCTAACCAAAGATATTTCTCATGAGATAATCCTTRGTCTTCMTTTTTTATATAATATCTATCMTCTAACCAGAATCGACGAAAGTGGTCTTACAGGGACTTATAACAATAAGGATATCAAATTTAATTTCATAAACAAACCTGTAAAAAGATTTCTTGATAATCTTCAAGAAAGAATAGATAGAAAAACTTTCCATCTTTATTCTCTTAAAGAAGAAATAAATTCTTTAACTATTGAAGAAAAAATTTCAAATCCTCGTTTAAGAACTAAGATTGATTTCATACATAATGATTTTTCTCTTAAGATTTGTAATGATCATCCAAATGCTTTTTGAGATAGAAAGAAACATATTGTTTCCCTTTCTTATGAAGAAGGATTTCATTAATCCAATATTCCTACTAAGGCTAGGCCTTGTCAGATGAATTCTAAGTATCTTGTTTTATGTAAAACGAGATTGCTAGTCTTATTGATAAAGGTCTTATTCGACCTTCTCAGTCTCCTTGGTCTTGTACTGCCTTCTATGTTAATAAACATTCTAAACAAGAAAGGGGTATCCGCAGACTTGTTATTAATTATAAGCCTCTTAACAAAGTTTTAAAATGGATTAGACATCCTATTCCTAACAAGAAAGATCTTCTTGATAGGCTTTTTCAAGCTTTAATCTTTTCAAAATTTGATTTAAAGTCAGGATATTGGCAAATTCAGATTGCTGAGTCTGATATTTATAAAACTGCTTTTAATGTTCCCATGGGACATTATGAATGAAAAGTTATGCTGTAAGACTCGAGTTTTAAAAACATTCTCGTTAACTTACCCAAATTGTACCGTACATAAATAATGGTCGGTAATTGTTGAAGGGTTAAAACCGTCAAATTACTAAACTTATTATAATTATAATATATATATAATATATATGTAAAGTAAAAACAAAAAAGCCAACATCGGCTTCTTCATCTTCATCTTCATATTCACCGTCACATCTCTCTCTCTCTCTCATTTCTTTTCTTCTCTCTAAAATATTTCTCAAATCGTTGAAGCAATCGAAGTAACGATTATATATGCGGAATCCACTCTTCGAACCCTTCATAAAGGTATAAATTTCATTCACTTTTATTATGATGTTTACGTTAGCATTTTTTTAGACCGGTTTATAAATGATGTTATGTCTAAATTTACGGATAGATATTGTTATAAGTATGATATATTCCATGTTTAGAATGATAAGATTGATTAAATTGATGTAGAAATTGAAAGTGTAGATTATGGTTTCATTATGATTAGATTTGGTGTATATGTTTAACCGCACACCCATTGTTCGATATAATGCCGACAAGAGTAGAATTGCATGATTAAGATTAGGTTAACGACCATTGGACTTGTTTTACAGTTTAGTATGTTGAAGTATGTTTATAGCACGTAAATGTAGTGAATCATGAAAGTTGGATTATAAAATTTAGTCGGGAATTGCGGAATCGGATTTTACCGACTATGCAGGTTCATACTTTGACAGTGTATAACTTACAAACCGTAAGTTGAAATAAGCTCATATTTTGCAGTTAGAAAGCCCTTAATGYAYACTACAACTTTCATGTAGGATTGAAAATCCAGTTATGATTCTAAGTGGCTCGAAACAATGTCTTTTCGGGGCTATTTGCAATGTATTTAGGATTGATCTGCTGTTTTGTAATATTCGTATAAAATAGATGGGTAATCCAAATGAGGTGATTTAAGAACCCATAGTTTCATCGCATATCATACTACATCTTTCGTTTAAATAGTATCTTCTGTATTGGTCTCTAAGTGGGGTAAAGATGCTCCCGAAAATGAGGGTCAAAAGCTATTAAAAGTCGAAACGGAATTATATAAAGCTAAGTGTTGCGTCGATTTCGTAATACATATTCRGCTGTYGTATTTGAAGTTTAAGTTGTTTATAAACATGTAGACCTAAGTAGTTTATTATTAGAATTAAGATATTATCTTACGTTGTTTAAGTAATAACCGATTTGCGCATTCGTTAGGCACGCGAACAAGTCGGACTTTACCGTGAATCTCGTTTGATCGTTCTTTACTTCTCTATTTTGCTTAAGGTACGGATTTAACTTTCTTTGACTCTTGGGCAACTAGTTGTTGTAGTTGACCCTTCATAACGGTGGTTCACCACTTTGTGATTGATCGCTTAAAAGTGGTCAATAAACTTTTTGTAGACCTAAGTAGTATATTAAAAGTGGTCAATAAATTATGAATTTGATGACATCTTGATTTACTCGAAGTCAAGAAAGCAACATGATCAACATCTTCAAATTGTTTTGGAGACTCTTCGAACAAAAAGTTTGTACGCAAAACTTTCCAAATGTGAATTTTGGCTCGATCAAGTGTCTTTTCTCGGACACGTAATCTCTGCCGAAGGTGTCAAAGTCGATCCGACATAAATTGAAACCGTCAATAATTGGTCACGACCTACGAACGTATCTGAAGTTCGTGGTTTTCAGGGTCTAGCTGGTTATTACAGACGATTCGTTGAAGGTTTCTCTAAAATATTGCTACCTTTGTCCCGATTACTTCGAAAAGCAGTCAAATTCAATTGGGGTTCCGAACAAGAATCTAGTTTTGAGGAATTGAAGCATCGATTGGTTACCATACCTATTCTTGTATTGTCGTCTGGCACTGGTGGGTTTCAAGTTTATAGTGATGCTTCAAAGAAAGGTCTCAGTTGTGTTTTTATGCAACACGGAAAAGTGATTGCATATGCTTCTCGTTAATTAAAGCCTTATGAGGTCAATTATCCGACTCATGATCTTGAATTGGCTGCAGTGATCTTTGCACTCAAGATCTAGCGTCACTATTTGTACGGTGAGACCTGTGAAGTTTTCACTGACCACAAAAGCCTCAAATACATCTTTACTCAAAAAGAGTTAAATATGCGTCAACAAAGGTGGCTCGAACTTCTGAAAGATTACGATGTTCGGATACAGTATCATCCGGGTAAAGCTAACATAGTCGCCGATGCTTTAAGCCGTAAAGCTGTGGAACAAGTTTCTTCTTTAATTGTTTCTACAGAGTTGGCTTTGGAAATCGAACGGTTTGGACTAGAAATTTATCCGAGTACGTAAACAAAAATTCTGTCGAATCTAATGGTAGAAAATCAACTCTAATCTCTTGGATCAAAGAAGCCCAGCAAGATGATAGTGAATTATGGGCAAATTTCCAGCAGGCACAAGAGAATTCTAGTTCAGAGTTCAGAATTGATGATGATCACGTGTTGTGGTTTCGGGATCGTCTTTGTGTTCCGAATAACTCGGAGCTTAGAGATCTAATTCTGACTGAAGCTCATAACTCTATGTTTTC